CGACGTCCTGCCAGCGACCGCGGCTGCCAACTGCCGCCGTGCCGACCTCAGTGGTACCTGTCCGCCTGGTCCCAGGTACGTGGCCGCCTGGTCCCCTGCCAGCGACCGCGGCTGCCAACTGCCGCCGTGCCGACCTCAGTGGTACCTGTCCGCCTGGTCCCAGGTACGTGGCCACCTGGTCCCAGGTACGTGGCCACCTGGTCCCAGGTACGTGGCCACCTGGTCCCAGGTACGTGGCCACCTGGTCCCAGGTACATGGCCACCTGGTCCCTGGTACGTGGCCACCTGGTCCCAGGTACCTGTCCGCCTGGTCCCAGGTACGTGGCCGCCTGGTCCCAGGTACCTGTCTTGGGTCGGGGGTATTCGGTGGTTCACTGGTGGGTCGGGGTCCTCAGTGGTTCACAGGTGGGTCGGGGTCCTCGGTGGTTCACGGGTGAGTTGGGGTCCTCTTTGGTTCACGGGTGGGTCGGGGTCCTCAATGGTTCAAGGATTGGGCGGGGTCCTCAGTGGTTCACGGGTGGGTCGGGATTCTCAGTGGTTCAGGATCGTGTTTGAATGGGATGTTTATGGGCATATCCTACAGCCGAGTTATGCATACCGGTCAAGTGGGTTGTGCATATACGGGTATACAAGTGGGTTTTGCATGTCGTACAAGTGGGTTGCCTGCGCAGGTCAGTGGGGCGCGTGTCGGGGCGAGTGTGGCGCAGGACGCAAGACGCGTCCTGTCGTCTGCGTCATCGAAGACGCGCCCGGCAAATGGCGCGTCTTGCCTGACGACGCCTGCACCAGCGGCCGACGTCCTGCCAGCGACCGCGGCTGCCAACTGCCGCCGTGCCGACCTCAGTGGTACCTGTCCGCCTGGTCCCAGGTACGTGGCCGCCTGGTCCCTGCCTGGTCCCAGGTACCTGTCTGCCTGGTCCCAGGTACCTCATGTCTGCCTGGTCCCAGGTTTTGAACTACTCCAATCGGGTCGTATTTATTATCGATTTTGAACCTGAGTTTGCTAACTTCATCGTTGAATAATTAAGGTTAAAGAGCTGCCTCGTTAATGCCGATTATTCTCGTTTTTTAAAGACAATTTTCAATTTTTATTCAACACATATGCAGCCTGTGATTCTTATTGCGGACTTATGAACTCCTTAAAGTTAAAGCCTCTGGCCCTCAAAACTGGAGAAATATTCTAGTGAAGCCTTGACCATTTAATATGTCTCATTATTCAATAATCCTCACTATTATCCTCCTCTCTGACAATTGCCTGTCATGGCCGCAGTGTTCAGCCACATGTGGAGGCGGGGTTATGAGGCGCCAGACTCGCTGCTTGTCCCCCAGCAGTCTGCAGGTCTCGACCGAGTGTTCCCTCCTGACAAGACCTGCGTCCCGCCAGTCCTGCAACCTGCAGAGCTGCGCACCTGCGCCTTCCGTCGTCGCCAACGTGCGACTGCCTGACGGGTCACCGCTTGTGCCTCAGCTCCCCAGTCCCGGTGCTGGTCGCGCGCATTTACAGACCACGAACGTTTTTTTCTTACAATTTTTTATAATTTTTGTTTTTCTTGATTTTTGTTGCAATAACGCTGACAATTTTTTTCAAACGTTAAGCATAATCTTTTCCGAGGTAGCAACATATTGTTTTTCTCTTGAATTTAATGGTGATATATTTTACATTGTGCGTCAGTAAGATCACTCAATGAAGTCTACACCGTTCAAAATGATGTAAATGTTTAGTCTTTTGCATAAATTACAATTTTGCATGCTATGTCCAAGTTTATTAATTATGTTCAATGGCTTCTATTACATTCTTCCGTTAGTTTAATTCCTGACTCCAGAGAATTACATGAGTTGAAGAATTTAATGATAATAATTAATAGTGTTTAGTATAAGATATTCATATAATAACTGGTACGATAAACGCTTTGCGTGTTGCAACAGACGCAGCCGAGGGCAGCGGCGGCGACCACGACCTGTCAGGTATGACATTCTCTCACATCTTGTTCCGGCATCTCAAGTTAAATATCAATTACCGTTACTATCTTGTGTTTTAGTCTTTCCATTTTCATACTATTTCAAATTAGCTATTAGCGTATAAATTTATTGCGTTAATTCATTGCCCTCATGCCCTGTAGGCTACAATATTTGCATTATCTTATAACAAGCCTTGTTTGCATGGAAGTATCACATGTACGCTATTATCCTCTCTCAAATGTAGGGACACGAGCTACTGACCAATATGTTTTGAAACTTTTATGTGGGGCGGGACGTGTTGAGAACATCATTATTTTGTATTGATGTTTTAATCATATCAGAATGACCATCCATGTCTGAATCTGAAGCTTGGCTCCTAAACTTTTTTTTTATAAAGTAGCTTTCTTATTTTAAATTATTCACCGTTTTTAGGTTCTGTTGAATCGTTGTAGTGAAGCTCAGAACGAATTGCTGTTACAAGATATTCATCTTCTTGTTTTGTTGCTACTTCCACAATCTTTTGGTTAAAAGCAATCGTAAAAATGGTTGTTTGGATCCCGCCATATCTTATAATCCCCAAATGTTTGACGTTTCCGTTTGCTTTTTGTCCATTAGCATCCATTTAATACGCTATTGCCAAATTTTATTTCAAGTATGGCAAATCAACTTTATCCACAATAACTCTACTAATATTTATTTGACTTGGGATCGCGCATTCCTTCCTCACGTATTCGTTTATCCCCCCGCCAGCAATCCTGCCAGGCCGAGCACTAACGCCCGACGGCGGTGGCCGGTCGACGACGTCGGGTGGCGGTAGCAGAATAGCGACGTCGGGGGGCCGAGTGGCGACGTCGGGGGGCCGTGTTGTGACGTCTGACGTCGGGGGCCGTACGGCGACGCTGGGGAGCCGCGTCGTGACGTCACCTGACAGCGACCGCGCGGTTGCCTTCGACGCGACGGAGTACAGGAAGCGGCCGATGGTCATCGCGCTCGGCGACGACTCGGCCGCTCCTAAACCCGACCCCGCAGCACAGGACCCCGAGGCAACGGGTCAGGCTTGCGGCTTGGCAGCTTGCATGAGAAACTTGAGTATTTCTAGCAGGCCTTTTCGAAGATCTAAGTATTTCTAGCACGCCTATTCGAAGATCTGAGTATTTCTAGCAGGCCTATTCGAAGATCTGAGTATTTCTAGCAGGCCTATTCGAAGATCGATAGATTTCTAGCAGGCCTATTCGAAGATCTATATATTTCTAGCAGGCCTATTCGAAGATCGATAGATTTCTAGCAGGCCTATTCGAAGATCTATAGATTTCTAGCAGGCCTATTCGAAGATCTATGTTTCTAGCAGGCCTATTCGAAGATCTATAATATTTCTAGTAGGCCTGAAGCGCATCACAGTGTGGCACCTGATGACTAACGACAGCCTGTTGTGTTGGTTCAGAGTACAGAAAATTATGCTAGACTTTAGCAAGGCGTTATGCGTAGGGCTTGACGGTCTAAAGCTTGCAGGTTACAGGCTTGCAAAGCTCACAATGTTTCGCTTAAATACTCTTGGAGTTTTTAGTCAATTTTTGAAGTTCATAACAGGCGTAAAAGTGTTCATAAAACCAATGATGTGCTGAATTTTTTTTCTTATGAACCAGATTTGTTGACCTTGGATTGAGTATGTTGGATAAATATATTACCTTTAGGGTAATTACTTGCCGAAAGACTGTGAACTTTGACCCAGAGTGTCAAGTTGAATGCTTTTAAGTGACATCATAGTCTTGTCTCATGACATCATAATTTTGTCTCTTGACATCATAGTCTTACCTCTTGACATCATAGTCTTGTCTCTTGACATCATAGTCTTATCTCTTGACATCAATGTCATGTCACTTGACATCATAGTCTTGTCTCTTGGCATCATAGTCTTGTCTCTTGACATCAATGTCATGTCACTTGACATCATAGTCTTGTCTCTTGACATCAATGTCATGTCACTTGACATCATAGTCTTGCCTCTTGACATCATAGTCTTGTCTCTCGACATCATAGTCTTGTCTCTTGACATCATAGTCTTGTCTCTCGACATCATAGTCTTGTCTCTTGACATCAATGTCATGTCACTTGACATTATAGTCTTGTCTCTTGACATCATAGTCTTGTCTCTTGACATCATAGTCTTCATTCACTTTTCGTTGGCGCTTTGTGCTTGTTGGCATTCGCGGTTTGTCGATATACTATTACTTGATACATTATAGTATCAGCTATACTATTTACTGATACATTCCTTTATCAGTTGTGCTATTTAGTGCTGCTTTCCGTTGTGAGATATACACATTTATTGTTACCTTCCGTTATGATGTATACCGTTCAAATATACACTCTGTTTATTGATACCGCCCGTTATGATGTATAGTGTATACCATTCAAATATACTCTCTGTCACCAGGCTGCGTGGACCGCATGAAGAACTGCCACCTGGTCTTCAGGGCGCGCCTCTGTCGTCTCCGTTACTACAACAAATTGTGCTGTCAAACCTGCCAGAAGTCGTCACCCATCACCTGAACGTCGTCACCCATCACCTGAACGTCGTCACCCATCACCTGAACGTCATCACCCATCACCCGCACGTCATCACCCATCACCCGCACGTCATCACCCATCACCCAAACGTCATCACCACTCCAACGATTTTCCCGCCACGTATATTAGAGGTTTGATTCTCAAACACACGAACTTATATGCTACGATGATCGTATACTACGTACTATGTTGACATCCACGATCACCATTAATCGCAATGTTGTGATCGTTAGGCGTCGTAAGTTTGATTGTCTTCTGCGACGGTTGTAAGTTCTCGTCTGATTATTAGTTCTCAAAACAATTTAATGAACTTACGTCGTGCGTAAGTCCGATAGAGCATCAGGCTGCTGCTTCAATGATTAGTGTTAGTCATGTAAACTAGTGTGCAGCTTAATGATTATTATGGATGCTTTATGAAACTGCATAATAAAATTAAATTACGTAGGATAATATACTTTGTTGCGAGTTTTAATTATGATTTTCTTGACGCTTGGATGTATTCATAAGATATACTATAGCATTGTGAATGCTTAAGTCATACAATGACTTTAGAAAGTATTTTATGATGAATTATTTTTTTTATTTATTCAGACCTCCACATTTCCTTTTTTAGGAAGCATTTTATGATAAAATTTTGTATTGAGTACATTTCTATATGCATAGTTATATTTTGACATGAATGGTTGTCGCCTTTTCCGCATCACGGCCTCAATGAACGTCGCGCGGTCATCGACTCCTCGGGCTCCATTTCAGCGGCCAATTCTCAGCAAAAATTACCTAAAACCGAAGCGTGATTTGTAATTATTACTCAGAATTGATCAAGATTAGCTTTTTTCGAAACTAGTGCTTGATATTAATTGCAACTAGTCTCTCTTTTGGAAACTAGTATTTATGATTGATTTTAATTAGCCTCCATTCTAGCTGAGGAACTTGCTTACGAAAAGACCTCAGACCATTCAGTTCAAGGCGATATGTAGGATTGCAGTCCTTTTTATTTCATAAGAAAGATTTCTAAGTTCATGTTCAGACCATCAATGAGTTATCTGTGGTGTGATTTCTATATTTTTTAGTTTTCGCTTCTACTCTTATTACCGGATAATTCGCCCGTAGGAATTCCGTGATAAGTGCTAATCAGTTTACTCTCTAAGGCCGTTTTAAAGAGTAGATCGTCAATATTTCCCTCATTTGACGAAACCGAAGACTCCAGAGTACAGAAACATTCGCATGTTAAAATATGCATTTGATAGGGATGCTCTACCTTAATTTCCACTCCCCAAAATTGTGACTTATCTACTACCAATTTTAACTTAGCATTAAAGTCAAAATGTCATGTTGTTCTTGGGCCACATTAGATGGCGATCAATTCCGCTGCTATTGGTCCTGCTTGATTTAATTGGTTCTCAACCGCACTTTATTACTTGATGTATTTCACCTCGACGGCTAAAAAGTATTTTAGTATCAGTCAATTTGTGGCAAAATCACCACAGACTTTCTGAAGTGCCAACTAAAACCTTTTAATTCATATCGTCCTTCATCCAATTTAATACTGAATTGTCTTGAGACTTGTAAGTTGCAAATAGAATTAAACTCACAAATGCCGTCATTTCCTCGAACCTATGGACTGGTGAGCAATGAAGTTCGTCACGTGCACGGGATTGAATGTGGAGTTTGTGGTGGATTTGTGCCACTTAAACAACCTAAGGGAAATGTGAGGAGCTTTGTTCTGTTTTGTGTTAAGTATATAATCGGTGCTCTGTACATAGATACAATCGTGCTATTTATTTGCTTTTATAACTTCGTTTCGGGCGTTACTTTCTAGCTGCAGGAAAAAGTAAATATTTCTGAAATAGTTACTGTTTCCTATCTTCAAATGCTAAAAGCTCTTGCTTTTTCTTTATTGTAAGAGCGGGATTACCAAAAAAAACGTCCCGTTTTTCTTTCATAAAAGTTTATTCGTAGCATAATGAATTGTTTTAGGCAACTTGCTGATAGCGAGGCTGAATTTACAGGAGCTATGGACGGTTTCACGCCATAGCCGCTCACTGCGAAGTCATATTTTAATGTAATTTTCTTCTGTGGCCTCGCCGATCTGATCAGGCGGGTGCCTCCCTTTATTGCATCGCTTCAGGACAGCAAAATAATGCGCCTCGTGGGCCAAGCATCGACCGCCACGACTAGAGGCGTCTGGTAAACCTAGTCCACCATTTTTAATCAATTGTAATCTCGGGTGGAAATTGCACTGCGCTGCTCAAATTTGCTAAAGGAAATTGCATTACTCGGATCAGATTTCTTAATGGAAATTTATCTCGTGAAACGCCGGCAGGTTTCCGCGGTCGATGCGCGGTGGCAGAGGGAGAAGAGCGATCGTTGTTTTCAATTGGATACTTTTTTTCCTGGTTCTCGATGTTACTCTTGTATATTTATTCATAGGTTAAGATTCAATTAATAGTTTATTATTGTGCGTTTTGTTCAAGACAGCATTGTACGTTTCATGTCATAGCTTAGGCTTGATTTATGAATGGAAACTAACCTTTAAATCGATTTGTTATACGTACAATAAGATGACGCGTCCGACGCGATGGTAGCGAGGTTACATTTGGAGTAAAATTTGTATCGGAAAAATGTATGTTTTCAACTCTCAACCATTTTGCTTGACGCGTTAAAATATTTTCATTTAGTAACAATGTTACGTCACGATTGACATTCTTTCTACCTATGTTTGTATAATAATTACTTCGTGTTATGACGCTCTAATTAACATTAAGGGAGAATGAGACAACGTTGAAATCTAGATGTTGATGTGTATGGCCACACGTTCTATTATAAAATACATGATAGGGGCAGACATGGCTTAGGATGCATGATGGTCGGCTCCGGCATGCTTTTCAATGCAATTGCTATGCAATATTGTTAAAAGATAACCCTTATATAGTAGGTAAATATATAGTGGATGTGCACATAACAGTTGTGTCGCCTATTACACTAACGCGTTCAACAGAAGGCTATTTTTGAAATCTAAGGTAAAAATTCACGACTAATTAAAACGCGCTTTGCATCCTTAACTTTATACATTACAGGGTTCAATTCTATGCAACATTTCAGCAGATAAAAATATTCAAATTTTCAGTAATTGGGACGACAATACCCTTACGTGTTAAAAATTTGATTGAATCCTACTTCATATTAGGTACATATGCAATTCATCATTTATTAATTCAATAAGAATACAACATTTTTCAGAACTAATAGTTTCTCTGCCTAAGCACAGAAAGCAAACTTGACGCACCCACTTCACGGAGACGCAATATAATATAATAAGTATGGCATAACTTACGAGAATAACAATCGAAATCGAAACTAGTGAGAGGGCCAACGCTGTGAGCTTCTACAGGTAAGCGCGCAAACTTAGCAACTCTCACAAAATGTGTTAGTAGCAACGTACGTAACGAACGAGTCTAAGCATGTGTATAAATATATATGTTTTTATTTATATATATATATAACGATGAATTCTCCTCAAAGCGGGCACGGAGGCGCCGCCTATCATTGTGGGGCGGGGCCAGATTCTCAATCTCATCTTCACAGGATAGTTTTTTTTATTCTTGGCGCTTGACATATAAACTCAATTTATAAAATTAGAAGCGGGGTTAAAACATTCAATTCGAGAATTTTCGAGTTACTTCGAGCAATTCATTAAAAAGCAAGAAGACCTGTGGATGAATCAGTGGTACAACTGATCGAAGGTCACATAACCGTTAATTCTCTGCACGCAAGTAACTTGGCATTTGAACTTAATGGATGACCGATAAATGAAGTTTCTCCATCCCACAATAAGAAACGAGTTCTATACAAATAATCTATACTTCAAAGTAGCACACATCAACACGAATTATCGCACTTCAAATGAACTTTTCAACCATGAAACAAACCTTAAAAGGAAAACTTAAGCAACTGTAACACAGGACGATGTCAAGGATTGTCGTACTACACAGTAACGAAATTTAACACTTGGGTTTAAGCTAAAACTTCAGCGGGGCATTTCTCTCTGAATCCTGCAACGGGTCCGACAGATTCTCAACACCGAAGATATTTCAAGCCTTCATACAGACTCGATGATAGTAATCTTGCTTTCCTCTACCATAAGATGCGACGAAAAATAGGATGTTGGCTCATAAAAACATTTACGTTTTCATCACAGGGCTCGTATGATAGTAGACACTAGACTTAATATGTACAGAATTGAATATGCTTGGCTGGTCGCAGGCAATACGGACTTTCGTGTGAAGAAATTCGCACTAATCCAGGGACTGCGGGACACAAGCGTCCTCTGAAGGGAACATTTCTCGTTTTCTTTTTACAAGGGAACATTTCTCAATAAAGATTTGGGAACATTTCTCAACATGGATCTTGAAGATTACACCGTGGATCTACAAACTGCAACGAAGAAACATTTTTGGCATGTTGTGATTGAGTTGAGAGCAAAGGCTGTGTAAGGTAGCCATATGGGACTTATTGAAAGTATGTAGGAAGTTTGAGGTTAAAAACGAAACTAGATGGCACAAATTTTTCAAACGGTTCGAGACTCTTCCCCGACGAAATTGACAATTTTAGAAAATAATAGTTTGACAGTTAAAAAATTGTGTAATGGGGCAAATGATGCTTTCAATATTAGAGAATAAGGACTGACAAATGATATGTTGAGAGAAGCAATTGATTTAAGATAACCAAACTTTGATTATGAAATGTTCAGTCGTATACACAATATTCACGTCTCGTAGATAATATTCACAACGCCGTCATAGTGGCAACGCTGGTACGATGCAATGATTTAAAATAATGAACATTCAAATGAATCGGTGGCGGACACACTGCAAACATAAATATTATTATTACTGAACGTGATGCAGAAAAGCGGCACACATAAAGAACATACGGTCCCTGAACAGAAGATTTATTAAATAACAATTACAACCCACAGGTGAAAATTATCGACAATTTAATCAATGGGATCAAATTATTCCAAGTACCAAAAAGTGCATAGACCAAATCGAAAATGTCAACTTGTATAATCTTTTAAACGACTATATATGACTCAGTTCACTGTGTAACTCAGCACGCACAAGAGAGAACAAAAGGTCGGACCGTTATAGAAATGTGAGTGGAACTAATTGAAAAATAACGTTCGAGATTGAAACAACAGGCGGTTGCTAAAACAATAAATTTAGTTAGAGAACTGGAGAGACTTTATTTTCTATTTACATAAATTTATTGTGAGGCTACCATCTTAAGAAGTTATTTTAATAGAGCAATTGTTTTCACACAGCCGTTACGCATCAAAAATGGTGTAGAAAAGTTCGGCCAATTTTAATAAGCGCTTAAGACTCGGCAAATAATTGTTGCTTCTCAACACGAATAAAACTTTTACTACCCGCCTTTTTTCATTGTATTTTGCGCTATTTAAATGTTTCAAACCAATCGCACAAGAGACAACTATCGTAAACCATTTCAAAAACAATCATTCGGACGATATGTCATTCCAACTTTAGATATAACACAGCAATGACACTGAATAAGTGTGGATACAAGTGAAGTATCAGCGAATGCGAAATACAATTTTCCAAATAAAAAGGAAATAAGCGCATCTGTGCTCGGTGATTCCTGATGAGCAGACAAATCCGTACAAATTTTAGCACAGCTGCTCCAGTTAACAGAAGATCTTACATCATTACGAACATACAAGGCAAACGAACCTCCCATCGTTATTACCACACATTTGATGCGAACCTTTTAAAGTGCTCAAGAAAAAGAGGGCAAATTAGAATGCACGTTTACTAATGAAAAGTCTTGCTCTCAGTCTTGGTAGCGTGGGGGCATTTCAATGCATTTTAATCCTCATGAAAACTATCAAATAAAATTCACAACTGAAGAAGCTAGTAACAAACTCACATTTTGTTATTTCAACAAACGCACCAAATCCTTCCATAAAAGTCTATTGTCGGAGGATGAAAAAATGTTAAAAACAAACCTTGATTTTACGCCGAGATTGAGTTTCTGAACAATTATCAAATAAGCGTACCCCTATACCGTTAGAATTGGGCGTCTTGTCAATCATGTATCGAATTAAACGTAATAAGGAAACTTGAACGAGTCTTATGCATACGGATGTCCAAGATGTGAATACGTCATGAGCTGCAAGATTTAAGCAAATCGAGGGCCAATCATAGCATTCACACGAAAAAATTGCGATCCATTAAAAAGCGTCGACAAGAAACGTTCAACATGAACACGATTAGAAGCAATAAACAAATGTAAATGAAGGTCTTGACATCATTCTATTATGATGCTGCCAGGAAATTAAACGTAACAAAGTACGTTTATGCAGTCGCGGATGAGCAAATAGAATTGAAAATGCGATGTACATATAGATAGGAATCAAAATCTTCAACGAAAACTACAAGCATGAGAGGAAAAACAACACAAACAGCAGAAATTGAAACGAGGAAGAATTCAGAGAAAAGTTAAAAATGGGACAAGAGCTTCAAGGTAGAGCAGTAATTATTAGTGAAGCCGAGTTGATGATGTCTAACACGAAAAAATGGTATTGAAAGCTTTTATTTTGATGGTTCTTTAGTGAGAAGATGAAGCGGGGAAGTAAATTTTTTCAGAGTCGGATAATTTAAAATGTGTTAACTAAAGCGCTACAAAAACAATGAGGTTACAGATGCTAAAGTGTCAATGAGTACCTATATAGGAGAGTCGCGCGTGGTCGCCGTGAAGATGAGACCAGTTGAAAATGGTGTCGATTCTGCGTTGAATGAGGCTAAAACCTGACTGGAAATTGGAGCATAACTAGCATTGGCTTTTATACGGATATTAAAATTAACACTCCAGCAGCAGGAGAAGCGAGTGGCGCGTCAGGAAAGACTTGTTGCATACGAAGATCTTATCGAATTGCTTCTCATAAGAGAGAAAAAACTCAACGAAACTACACAAATACCGCAATCAGACAAACATTATTCATAACTAACACAAAATATACAAGAAAGTTGTTAGGTTTTGATTCGAGAAAAAATTATCTACGCGAAACACAAGTTGAATGTATGTAAAGGCAAGTGTAATGATGATACCCATGGATGAATGATGACACTCATCGCCTAATTTATGGTTGCTTTTATTTTTAACTGCGTCTATCAATAAAACCATATTTAATATTTCACTGAATAAGAGCAGTAAACTCGGCACGATCGAGGGTTGAAACTTTCATACTTGAAAAAAGTGCTAAATAAATTTACTAAATAGTTTCCGCATTCAGAAACAAATTAAAATCAAATTTTTATTGTCATAAATTGTTTGAAATAAAGGATTAAAAATTCGCAAATAAATTCATGAATATTTGTTCATCGTAAACAAATGGAGGAGTTTGAGCTAAAACATTTTTTATAAAAAGAACGTTGATATAATTCAAGTTTCCAACAATCACGATACGTATTCGCAATGGAACAAACCACGAAAAGTACAGAGACCATTTATCTTGCCCTTTTCAGCGCAGAATTGTCACGTAATTTTTCAACATATTTGTGTTATATAAATTCATCGTCACCGAGTTGCTTTCTCAAGCTGCGAGAAACAGACAAATGCGATCAATAAAGTCAACATGTGAAAAATCAGGCAAATTTGTTGCAAGAGAAGATATATATTCAAGGTTGGAATATCATTTCAAGCAATTCACGAAATGCTCCACTAAGGCGGTTAAGAAACAGCGGAAAAAAAACATCATTGCAAGACATGGACTGTGAGGATTGGTGTCATGTTAACAACGAAAGCCCCGATCTGCATACAGCAAATGACAGCCAGCACTTGGAGAGAAAGTCTCGAGAACGTAAATGAAAATCTGCACAGCAGAAGCATAATGTAGTGTTCAGAAATAGTAGTGCTGCAATAATAACATTAAAGATATTAATATTGACCTCCACACCATCGTCACCATTAGCTAAGTACACACAGCCACACCCTCTGCAGAACCATGGCCGTTTTATATGTGGCCAGCGATGCGCCGATGTTTCTAATTTACAATACATTTGACGGCCACTAGCTCACCACAAGTGGGGGTGAAGTCCACACCGCGTGTGGAGGTGAGGTCCACACCACGTGTGGGGTTGAGGTCCACAACACGCGTGTGGGTGAGGTCCACATCGCTTGTGGGGAGTGAAGACCACAAGGCTTGTGGGGGAGGTGAAGTCCACACCGCTTGTGGGGAGTGAGTGAAGTCCACACCGCGTGTAGGGCAGTGGTCCCACAGGATTCCTGGCTGGTGCGTGGACCACACGCACCACACGCACGGGAGATGCGGTACCACATCTCACGGAGCTTCACTGCAGCGGTCGTGGGGGAGGGGCAAGGGTGAGAGGGGGGGGGGAATAGAGCAAAACGAAGAATAATGTTGAAAGAAGTAAGAAAATTTGGGGAAAATAATAAAATGAAAACAAGAAGAAAGAATAAACGGATTACGAAAAAAGTTGACATCGCGTAGAGAAATGGTAAAATGAAGTAAAGGGGAGAAATTTAGAAATGGTAAGGCAATGGAAATACAGGAAGGGAAATAAAAAATAATTTAGAAATTAAAAATGGAAAGAGCGAGCAAGAATAAAGGGATTGAAAAAATAGCGTAAGTCGGAGCAGGAAAACGGTGAAAAGAAATAGGGGGAGCAAGGATCCAAGGAGGGGAGTAGGGGGAGTATTTGTAGGGGCCAGGGAGCGCTGCCCAGCAGGGAGTGTTAGGAGGCGCAGTCTGAAGCAGCGTCGTCCTGGACACAAGATAACAACTCCATTACAATACAAGTAACTATACAAGTCAAGTTACAATAGAAGTACAAGTAACGTTACAACACACGGAACGTTACAATACAAGTAACGTTGCAATACTAATAACGTTACAAAACAAGTAGTTTTACAATACAAGTAACGTTACAACACAATTGTAACGTTACAACATAAGTAGCGTTACAATACAATTGTAACGTTACAACACAAGTAGCGTTACAATACAAAACCAGCCCCATCACGGGGGATATATGTGATTACTTAAACTTTTTACAATGCATTTTATACCGTACTGGTAAACACAGTTATCCACGAATATTAGTAGTGTAAATAAGGGTTTAGATAACCTACATTATGAAGGCCTAGAAAAAATACCTCTCGCTTTACATAATTTAAATTGTATGTCTATGACAAATCTAAAAACCTTGATTGTCACTGTGTCCCACAACTCAAGGAACGTCAGTGCATCATCGTTATATCATCACCAGCAGGATTTTCATTTCTTCGTCATGGATCAATGAAATTCTACGATGTTGATTTGCGTTACGTTTAAATATTTGTTTTACCAGTAACTAATGCTGAACTTCGCGTGTTAGGCAGCACGATCAGCGCTACTGCCGAGTGTACAATGCCAGTTAATGCTCCTTATCAAGAACTATTGTATGTTTAGTCCCACCTTCAAACAGTATTGCAACCTTCTCAACATTTTCCTCCATCACATCTTCGATTAAATAATCCCAAATACCCATAAGATAACGCTTCATAAGAAATTATTGATACTACTACTTCATAAAAAGATCACTTAGTAATCCTTTCGAAAATGTAAGAAGATCATATCAAGCGCAAGAGATAAAATTCCCTCACACCCGAGCTTGCCAATTAAAACAAATAACTTACAATGCACAACGAAGTACTTGAAGCCTAACTACCGACGCACACTTTCTACGACTGTGACCTACAACTTAACATCACATTTCAACACGAGTTGATTTCAGCAAATGCGACTAACTGATGCATATGACAATCATATGTATTGGGCAATCATACGTATAGGACAATCATATGCTAAGGGCAATCATATATCAAAGTCGTGAATTCGTTCGTGAGTAGCCATATTGTAGCACAGCAACTGTAAGCAGTTTAGGTTACCTAAGATCGTCATGCTAAGCAAAGTAAGTTATCTCCTCGAACGGGAAAAGACAAGTCAAGCGTTAACTATTGAACAAGAATCAAAACTAAATTCCAATTTACTAGAAACACCAAGCTGACAGCAATTAAACACATAAATTGAACAATTTGTTACAAATTGAGGGTTAACACTCTGTTAGATAAGCATTTCTCTTCGTTAACCTATTCTTACATTTATCAATTAGTTTTATTACTTAAAATGACACAAACAAAAACTATCAAAAAAGAACTTACGAACTGAAGATGTAGAAATCTCAAAAATATTTTGATTCAGTAAAAGATATAACCCGCCTAGCTGCACAGCGATGAACTTGAATCATGTTCATACAAAATTCCTCATCGAAATAAAAGTTATACCTAACGCATATCAAGGAACACCGTTAATGAACTTCACGCAAACTGCAGGTCCAGAAAAAAAAACGTTGCGCATAGGAGAACGGCAAAAAATTTGCAATAAAATAAAAGAAACGTTGAGTAAGCACTTTTAGAAATGGCAACCATGCCACGCCGCACGGCGTATCTGGAGGACGGAGGTCGTTAATAGGAAGGCCACGCACAATATCAATGCATAATACAGAGATCATTGTAATATTAATTATGATGATGATCATAGTATTAGTCATCTCTTAGCCATAACATTGTCGCTTGGAAATAACTACGTGATAAACGAGTAAATGGCACATTAGGCACTCCATTATAGGCACACTAGGCACTATATTGGACACGCTAGGCACACCATTAGGCACACTAGGCACTCCATTGGGCACACTGGACACTCAATAGGCACACTAGGCACTCCATTAGGCACACTAGGCACTATATTGGACACGCTAAGCACCCCAAAAGGCGCACTAGGCACTCAAATAGGCGCACTATAGGCACTCCAATACCCTAACAAAATTTGGGGACCGCCTAGGCTTTAGTCGAATATAGTCGCTACACTTGGCGCAAAGTCATTCTGGGTCCTGCTTGGCCACCAGATCGAAATCAGTTTCTGGTCAGAATCTCCTTTCCGACTTAATAGTCGCCTGAGAGTATGACAAGGATTGGCCGAGTCATTCCGAGCTAGCAAGCTTCCCAGAGGCTGCCCTTGGAACCCTGGGCCCATACTTTCAAAAAAAAGTTAAGAAATCGTAAGTTCATCAGCCAATCATTGACGGCCTTTCGAGCAAAATCCACCAATCATAGACAAGAAAATAGAGCGTAAGTACTTACGTTCACTTAGCCAGTTTTGCATGTATGGCCCCCGAAAAGGAAAAAGAGAAGCTGATTTACGTGCTCCCCGAATACTAGGCGGCCCTAATGCAGAGTCGCACAAAAATGTAAATTTTGTTAGGGTAGACGCGCTATAGGCACTCCATAAGGCACACTGGATACTCCATTAGGCACACTATAGGCATTCCAATAGGCACATTAGGCACACTAGGCACTCCATTAGGCATACTAGGCACTCCATTAGGCACACTAGGCACTCCATTAGGCACACTAGGCACTCCATTATTCACATAGGCACTCAATCAGGCACACTCCACACTCGATTAGGCACACTAGGCACTATATTATGATGCATACTAGGCAATCGATTAGACGCACTCGGCACTCCATTAGACACACTAGGCACACAACTAGGCGCACTAGACATTAGGTACACAACTAAGCGCACTAGACATTAGGCATACGACTAGGCGCACTAGACATTAGGCACACGACTAGGCGCACTAGACATTAGGCACACGACTAGGCGAACTAGACACTAGGCACACTACACACCAGGCACACTAGACACTAAGCACACAACTAGGCACACTACACACTAGACACTAAGCACACGACTAGGCGCACTAGACACTAGGCACTCGACCAGGCGCACTAGACACTAGGCACACTAGACACTAGGCACACGACTAGGCGAGCTCACAGCGAGTAAGGGCGCGAAGAGGCCGCAGGAGGGGCGGGTAGCAGGCTGCCTGCACGGTAATTACCATTAGTTATGCAACTACTTGCCACTAGCTACTGCTGGTGACCAGCTCTCTAGCACCATTCCATACACTAGTCACTAATCATCATCACGATTTTATCTATTTTTTAGTTGATTAGACTGTCTTAACCTGGACATCTCCCTTTCCGACACTTCGCGTCCGCGTGTGACACGGTCACTGATGACCAAATTAGTGACCAAATGCAGACGGGACAGCCTCGTGTCTAACAAGGCATGATCTGACTTATACGTTCGAAAGTAATGATAATATTTCAATATAATCTTCACCTGACGCTTTCATGTCGGGAGTCTAAGTGACGAACATGCATGACAGTAACTAGCACGCTAGTGTAGCCTCAGTGACGGCCATAACTAGCACGCTAGTGCAGCCTCAGTGACGGCCATAACTAGCACCGTAACTAGCACGCTAGTGCAGCCTCAGTGACGGCCATAACTAGCACCGTAACTAGCACGCTAATGAATTGTGTGGCTGAACAACGCTTGTGATGTTCACAAGACTTTCACGAGATTTCATGATAGTGAATGTGAATATCTATGAATGTATTTCTCTAATACAATACATTTGAAATACAGGGAGTGTCGCAGTGAGAGTCAATTTCTTAAAATTATATTTTCAGAATATTTAATAAACTACTTGGTCAACATAAAAAAGCAAGACAAGGACCGGTTAGTTCTCTACGCATTACAATCAACAGTAATGTTTTCAACATTCTACAGCCCAACTAACTTCAATATCAAACTCGAGGGGTGCTGTTGAAAATGGGGGTAGAATTTGTAAAATAATCGTATATGGTTGAATATATCAAAGTGAAATGGATTGTGTTAGTGATAACGGCAGACAAAACTATCTAGTATTAAGTGAGTGTGTCTGATTAAGTGATGCACAAACCGTGTCTAATTAAGCGATGCTCAGACTGTGTCTGATTAAATGATGCACAGGCGATGTCTAATTAAGCGAGGCACAGACCGTGTTTAATTACGTGGGGTACAAACCGTGACTAATTAAGTGAGGCATTATATCTTGGTAATCCAAGACTTCTACCCAGTTCCAAGCTCTACCAAATTCTGTATCAACATATTGTAGGTCTATGTTTCTGATCCAGAAATTATCACGAATTTGCTACAATTTTGATCCTGAACTTTTTTCTTATTCTTCACCGAATAATCTATAATGCTTATGAGCATCATAGGAATAACATGAGGATGAAGCACAATTTTGTTCATTATAAGTTAAGAGAGTCTAATGGCTTCTTGGCGCGACACGCTTTGTTGACTACAACCCAAATTTTACAAGATGGAGATTATAACAAACGTACAATCATCAAATTATTCATCAGTGAACATATCTGTAGAGTCTACAGGTAGAAAATATTGCTAGTATATTAATTAACCATCAACATACAATTATTAGTATCTGGTCACTCAAATTTTATCTTCACACACATGTATGACTTAGTGTGAGTGCGATGGAAGTTACGTACAGAAAAAGCTATACTCAGAATAACGCTCGGAATTCATTCAAGATTGTGATATATTTATGAGAATATCGCATTAGAAAGATCAAGCACACAGGCAAGAAGTTTTTGGGCAGGACCACGTCGAGATAACGAAAAATATGATCACGATCGGTATAGATTCAGGTTGGGAGAAGAGATTGTAAAAAATTAGTAAGTGCATTCGGAGTTTAAAGCGGGGCGCGAGTTAATCTGTCAAGATGGGAACAAATAATTTGAAGAAGCGTTCATGGTTAGAAGAGCAGTGTAAACGTAGTGATGAACTATGCAGATAGAAAGTCTAAGTAGTCAAGGTTGAGTAATTCAAAATTTTTCGCTTTTGGTGACACTGAATGAAAGTAAATAGTGCAGTCAAGACTTGCCCTTTGTACTAAACTAATCGAGATGCAGTGGATACAATATAAAGAAGTGTTTCTTCACTCCTGATGCGAAGTAACGGTAGATTTTCCTGCCGTACCACGGACCGGTGGCACAAAAATCACGTGCAAAGAATTTGCTCGTTCATTTGTTAACATATTCACCTTCTGAATAAATGCTATCGTCGCATACTGCCAGATAAAGGTTCACAAATGACACTTAGATGAAGCATTACTCTAATGGATGTTAAGTTAGCGTGTCGGACTAACCATGGAAGTTCGTGTCTAAGTCTACATCATCTGAGATCATCACAGCATCAGCACGAAGAGTGAAGCAACTCGTACATTAGAAAGCGTTACTGTCTTAACTAAAACGCACTTTCGATGGCGTTATCGTATTATTAATCATAAATGAGCTACATGTTAGGACTACAACGGACTATGGCGCAGTACTGCAACTACATTATCCCCCGAAAAGTGTAATCATTACTACTTTCACTGACTATATTCATAGGAAAATGATGCAAATGATCGTTCCAGCAAAGCAATGCGATACAAAAAAGTATACAATAAAAAAACTTCGTACTTTGATCCATACAGGAAATAAGAAATTAGAGAAAATAAGGTCGGGGAAGATGCAGTCGAAGGAAATGTGTAGTGATTCGCAGTAGTGGCTGTGGATGAATAAAAGAAATAGAGAAGTACTTAAAAAAGTACGGAATAAGTGATGGGGACTTGCACTGAAAAAAAAACGAGTCTTGTAGAGGGACGAGATAAACACGATAATAGAACATAAAAGATGGCATGGCTGACTGAAAACAATGAATGAATGGTAAAATGAAGAAGCCTTTAAATTAAAAAGAAAACTCAAGTCATGTTAAAATAATTGTGATCTTGAAATTTCCATGCAGAAACAGTAGCAAGTTTAAGTAAAAAAGACGAAGCTGAGCTCAAAACGAACAACGAAAGTATTAATTGACGCAACAAAAAGTAGTATGGACGAATCGAACACAAGAAGGGAAATGTTGATTAGCGAATTAGTGAACATTGATGACATGAGACTAACGAGAGGAGGCTCAGTGACCACTTAACGAGAGGAGACTCAGTGACCACTTAACGAGAGACTCAATGACCACTTAACGAGAGGAGGCTCAGTGACCACTTAACGAGAGGAGGCTCAGTGACCACTTTAACGAGAGGAGACAATGAGCACCGAGGATTAAAATGTGAAGATGAAGTTTAAAATGAATGAAACGAGATAAAAGAGATAAGATTGATAAATACGAATTAAAGCTGAAGGATGTAAATAATATGGAGGCGCTCATTCTTTGTGTAGGGTAGAGCGACACTTGTTATTCGCAAACAAACTTGATGTTGTTGTATCTTAAAGAAAGAATATTTTGTGTTCAAAAATAGGGGAATGAAATTGTTTGTTGTAACGACAATCGCAAGCTGGATTAACGTGGATTCGTCAAGTTGGTACGAACATTATAGATGTGAAACATCAAACTGCCAATTAATGATGTCGATATTCAGCCTTGGTTTATCCCGAAAATAGCGTCCATTTTAGCCATCAAGTCTCAGAGCAAAATACCGGACATGAATGAATCGAGGATCTCCGCCTGCTACGGATATTAAGGTGATGATATTAATATCCGTCAGATGATGGGGACATTGAGATTACATGCAAAAGTAATACGACTGAAAACCAGCTTATTAACATTTGAATGCAATTAAATTTCGGCTGAACAATGCGGGCAAGGCATGAGAAAGCGATTCAAACTGCGATAGGCGCTCATTGGAAACACTGAAACATTAAGTAGATTAGATACTCATGAAGTAGATTTTAGTGAACCGGCTCACGCACTCGGAACATAAGAGAACGTTAGCTGGGCAGACGCAGTTAACCACAAGGAGGAAGAGGGGCTTAACAAAAGATCCTTGCGTGAACTTACCTCGCTCATGATCGCTAGTCTGTAAGTCGAGGGTCTCAGAACACCGAACTGAAATGTCGTACACTGCGTGGTTCCTTCCAGTACTGGTACTTGATATCAACAACACATGGCAGTAGCGTTAAGATATCGGTTTATAATGGTAGTTTGTTCCACACAGGCACTTGGAAGTCAACCACAGATCACCGAATAACTTGATAAAGGCTTGATTGGTGCATTGTTCCAAGAGACACAAAAGGCAACAGGTCCACGTCTTGGGGGTAAGGCTGGTCACGAACAAGGTAGCAAATTTTCACTTCGGCGACGCAAATTTCGTACGAGGAAATTGTAGTCTTTGAACAACGAGATCGGAGTCTAACGAAGATGGTTAGGCTGATATGGGTGCGGATATGTGACTGACACAGAAGCGATTCTTATCACTAAAATGAGGCATCAAATCTAAAATGAGTACGGAACTATAATTGCATACGAGGACAAACTGAAGAAAGAAGAGCAAGACCGAACGACAGCGAAGCACGTGGTCAAAAATATGCCAAAACAAAGAAGAGGTCTGTTTTGCGGACTAAAATGCGTAGTGTAGAGCACAATGATGCTCAGGACCAAAACGCCAATATTCCATTAATATTTGATAGTTGAGCACATTCCCTTTCATCGAGCTCACCGAGGCCGTAAATCATCAAGAAACTTTCAGTTAATTAGATTCGCTCAGAAGTATAAGTTTCCTGACGATTGCCAAAATAGATAATCAAGACAAGAGAAGATGGGAGCGACACGGACATCAGAACAATTTCTTGATGTTCAAAACGAGCATTTCTCAGGCAAACAACCAAGGGGCACAAGCAGGCTTTCATATTCTTTACTGGTGAAAGAAATGAAAGAAAAAACAGCTGAAACAACGCAACATTTACTAAGAATGAAACGACAACCTAGCTTACTTCGGGGAATCTTGATGAATGGTGATTATTTCTGATACTGATGCAATATTCGATATTAGTAAAAAAATCTACAGACAACAAATCGACAAGCCTAAGTAAGCATTTGGCACATATAGTTAACTAAACAACACTAGGTGCGCTATACGTTCTGTAGTTCTACCACCACTTGGGCCGTCTATATTCAATCCGTCAGTCCAACTCTCAACATTCGTTCCTAGCGTCTCCAGCACAGCAGCGGATAATAACATGCAAGTAATACAGTTAACAACACTTCTAAATGATAATGAAGGCACTACATGTATATATGTTTTTGCTGACAGGCGACATGATGTTTGTGAGGAGGTGGGAGTTATTCTAACGCAATCCTTGCCAAATATCATATCTAAACACCAACTCTTGCTTTTCGTTGAATTTTGTGGCGCTAGAGCATTGATGAACCTGTTGAATGCGTCAGCAAGTCGGGTTGATGCAAATGGCCACTGACTTGCAACGAAATGAAGTCCAAGCAAGAATTCTCACGTAATCCCCGCAAGTGGGAAGTCCATGCTAGGCTGGGGTGAAATCCCTGGTTAATACTTCACTATCTAATACTCGAAATACTTCGCTGTACGTGACATTCACATTGAAATGCAGTCCAGCCTAAGACCAAGTGGAGTTCGAGAGAGCACTGCAACGCTTCTGACCACGACTTTATATTGTTCGTGAAAGCTTCCGATGCATTAATGCATGTAGTAACAATTAAGAAGCTATTCCCTAGTTATAGAACGACAAAAGCAGGTTCAGAAGCAAGATGAACAAACTGATGAGGCTGAGTTGAACAGCCACTATAAGTAGAGTGACATGAGAAAGCAACAATTTGACAGTCTCCACAGAGGAGTTATTTTCTGCCGATGTCAAACAATACACAAACAATTTCACTCGACAAGACCGAGCAGCAAAGAAACGCAAGCTTAGTTATCTCCGGTAGGTAGACTGATGGCTAAGGTGCCATTAAGATATTTCTCATCCAAGAGAGCGACGACTTCTTAGAAGAATGTGTCCCCCTTGATAGTGCGACGAAGTTTGAAGGGGGCAATAAGTGTCGCTCCCGTCTTACGGCAACGACTGAGCTGTTTGGTTGCAAACCGGTGGTGGCTGTTCTTCCTCCACATCATCCTCCTCCTGCCCGCACTGGAGGAGTTCGAGCTCATCATCCATGTCGTCGATGGTGGTAACGAAAGGCAAAATAGCGTCGGAAAGTCCAGCTACGGGAGCAGGAGACATGAACGAGTCCTCGTCGTCATCATCAAACGACATACGCGGGGACCTCAAGCGCTTAGGCGACGAACCCGACAGCGTGAAGATCGGCATCATGACTTCGGAGCTGCGACGCGGTATCGGCGATGCCGAGGACCTTGAAGGTATCGGGGACCTGGGCCGACCAACCATCCCAGAGTCATGATACACCTCCAGCTGATCCATGGATTTCATAGGTGAAGTGGGTCGCTGGGACCGAGGAGAAGTCGAAAGAGTGGACATGGGCTTGGGTGGCAGTGCGTCGAGGGTGTCGGTGGGAAGACTGCGCCTGGGTGACAGCGCCCTCGGGTGAACATGTCCGATGGACAGCATGGACATGGGTTCGGAGGCCAGCAGGTCCAAAGGATCAGTGGGTAAATGAGGCATAGGAGATCGTGATCGAGGGGACTTGCATGTAGGTTTGGCTTGGTGGAGAGGGGGCGCGGAAGTGTCGATATCCCCCATGCTTGTGGCGGGGGTTGTGGGGGGCGCTGAGAGGATGGGGGAGCTGCTGCTGAAGGCCTCCAGGAAGTCATCGTCCTCCTCAGTTGGGGAAGACGGCGGAGAAGGAGGGAAGTCCAAGATGGGGTTAGTGAGCAACCCCGCGAGTTTGAGCTTCATGGACTGGCTGGGGAGGAAGAGGAGGCGACTTAATCCCCCGTCCCCCTCTTCGCTGTAGCATTCCTCCATGGGAGTGGGCGTATCCTGCACCCCAGGGGACGTCAAACACCCATAACGTATTGGGGGGACAAAGTGGGGGAATGGGGTACCTCAGGGGAGCATCTACTACCAAAAAGGTGAAAGTGAGAGCAAAGAAGGGGAACAGTGAAGGATGAATGGGGATGGGTGACATGAATGGAGACTGCAGAGGCGTGTGAGATGAAGGTAAAGATGTTTTAGTGAAAACAAAAAACAAGCAAATGGAGTAAGAAGTAGAGAAAATACTGATTGTAGGTTGAAGTATAAATGAACGAAGAAATAGAGGACGAATCGAGCATGTGGATAGACTGAAAAGATTACTAGTAACACTCAAATGAGACGAATAAGCAGAATGAGTAATGATTGATAACAGGAAATGTATTGCCAGGAAAATAGAAGAGGGATGAAATGGAAATTGAAAATGAGTGAAGCGAATGGAGAGGAAGACACAAAGATAATAATTGAAAAATTAAAACAGCCTAGCATAAATAGTTAAGAATGAGTGTACTACATGCCTATAGCTCAACTATAATATCAGTTAACTAGCCTGAAGCTTCACTAGCATAACAGTTGACTAGCCTCGAACTAGACTAGTTTAAAGTTGAACTAGCATACAAGTTCGCTAGCCTAAACATAAGATTACTAGGACTAAAATCATTTATTTTTACAAGCCTGATATAGTCCTAATAATATCTATGCTTCGCACTTAGCTCTTTACCGCCTCAGACATTATTTAAAACTTATACCCTAACAAAATTTAGAGTCGCCCCAGCTTCTGGCAATCCAAATTAGAAGCTGCCGCGTCTGTAAATTTTCACTGGGATATTGGCAAGACAATAATTTTTGCATTGATAGCATCGTAACTAAATGTTAAGTCAGAAAAATTGACAGGTTATATTGTGCAAATAATGACAGACTTTCTTGCTCACAGTATGAGCAGAGCGGACGTAGCACCGGAACACCTTTTTGCAGGGCCAAACTAGGTCAATATGACCTATACAAAAATTTATCCAGGACCTCGCCACTTTATTGATGCGATCCAGTCAGTGCTGAGTTAGTACTTATACGAATAGTGATATTCGTATACGAATATCACTATCAGTTGTGATAATAGGCGGTAAAGAGACATGGTGCGCAGGTCACTATAAACATGCACACGTCACTCTCATCACAATACAAATATGGTGAAATTGCCGCGCATGGCAAAGCGAAATGCGGAATAACTGCGATAGACGAAGCTAGGAGATAGCAGATAACTCAAACAACAAATAAAACCTTAAATATTTTAATATGCGATCACAATCAGAGGGAATTATCTGTAGTCAAGCGAAAATATGCGTAATCAAAAGAAATTACGATTAATCCAACGTAATTTCGAGGAATAGAATAAAATGTTTTAGAATCAAACTTGAATGATGCGGATAAAATCAGCGGGGTTAGCGAGCTAGATTTTCGAGAGATGTTAGTATTTAGCATCGATGATGATGGTGAGCAAAATGGAATTAAGTAGTATTAATGATTGATACGTTCAATTTTTGGTCTGGTATTTGTTTTAATATGATAATGATATGAATACCAATGGGGTGAGTAAGGGAGGTTAAAATGATTTCAGCATTCAAACAATAACAATTTTAGCGGTTTCGCTATGATCAATAATTATAATGTTCCACAATACTCAATAATTATAAAAATTCATAATGACCAATAATTATAATATTTCACTATTATCAAGAGTTTTAAAGCACAATTATAAACGGTTTGATTAGAATTCGAAAAAACAGGGTTGCATAGAAAATAAACAGTTGCTTTCATTGATGCCGACCCATTTTGTTCGTGGACTTTTTCTTGGTAAAAATAACCAATATGAGAAGAGTTGAAATATTTCACAGTATTTACACTGAAAATATTAATACGTAATTACAGTATATATTATATACAGCAATCCTTCGAGGCACGCTTGGCTCGCACTGCGCAAAAGAAAGCCATGCGTACGCAATCCTAATCAGAATTGAATTACACAATAACAATCTATAATAAAGTACGGTACCAACAATCCGCATGCTGCTAATATAGCAGTTATTTTCTCATTACGACGTTACGAAGCGTCACGCATAACAGCAGCCACAAGACAATAACGTGCCGTAGTGAACCACAGCCGTGCAGTCATACGGAGACCCGTAGCATAATTATATAACTTTCAGCTGAATCACGCGTAATAACTTATATAATCTCATATAGCACACAACCACGGCTAAATATAAGCTCAAATAATACACAACACAGCACATGACACATGGTCTCGCTTCAAGTCCCTGGATGACTGAGCACTGAAGGGCCTATTAATTTGTTGCCTATTATACTGTATATTAAAGGCTAAATCCTAGGTTGCAGCTTCTACTGTCACGATCAGTAGAATGAAAATTTATCAAGAAATATTCCGGTTCGAATTTTTTATTAGAATCAGTTCAAGAATCGGCGTTGTGCCAACGTTGCGCGCATTACAAGCAGCGTTGCGCGCATTAAACATCAAAGAAGTTATGCGCGTTTCATGCGCGCGTCGCCGGCGACACCAGACAGCGGACAGCTGTGATTTACAGCGGAAAATACGCCGATAAAGACGACACTTCGCTTACGTTATGACCACCCATGTTGTAATTGAACGATTCTTGAAACACAGGCGATAAGTCTCATGGTTTTGTATAAGGTATGAACCCTTTTTAAATGCATTGTTATAGTTACAAATAAACGTAGCGGTTAACATTAATAGACGAAATAAATAAATTCATGCAGACGGATTAGTACAGGAATAGGGCCTAATCTTGCTTGTAGCCAAAATAACCGAAGTGCAATTTCCTTATTTTGAAGTAAACATACAATTCAGACGAATGGAACCCATTTAACAAGTGATCTTGCCAACAAAAACCAATTTAAATTGATACAAATCGAATATATGATAGGTACGTATATCGTTTAATGCAGGAGACGAGCTTACATGCAATATGCATTTTGCATGCATTTTTTTGTTGAATATTTTTCACAATTCAAATTTATCTTTGGCACTTTTGGCTAATCCTGAGGTAAGAAGTGCAAAGAAAATGTAGGACAACATTAATACTACTGCAATCAACAAGCGAAGAATGAAGCAATCAATAAAGGAAAAACGTAAAGTAGTAGATGACGTAGCAAAAGTAATAGTGGTAGATATAAATCAGCAGAAGTAGTGGTAGATGATAGTATCGAGGGTCCGTAAGTGCTGTACCCACATGAGACTGTTTAACCTCAACGCTCACACACGAGTTGCTTCGAGGAAAAAGATTTTTCAGGGAAAATTTCATGCCTTCAACGATTAATCAGCATAACATCTAAAAGACACACACACCGACCATCAAAGACATTCACCATACTAGACTAACTGGGAAAACACTCACCTAAATTAAAAAAAAACTAACTTCGAGATAAAATTCTAAACTGCTGTTTAAATTACGGCCACGATTGCACTTGCTAGTACCGTGCAGATGCCTTTTATTTTAGGTGATACTAATTAAGTGCTAATACCGATACTCTATTTTACTATCTTTATCTTTAAAAGAAGAGGAAATAAAAGACATGCATTGTTATCTTGAAATGAAACATTAACTAATATGGAGAGCTAGCAACGTTTTTAATCGCTACAATGAACAAAAAACATTAAATTACGTGACCGTTCTCGTCATCTTCTCACAGGAAACTGTCACGGAGAAAACTTACATTTTATTCAGACAATTTTGCAGTTTTAGGCACTGTCCTTGACACGTAATGAATAAATTTCGCACGTAAGGCATGATGGCCTACGAAGGCATTTTCTAGATATTGAGGCAACAAAATGTTTCCACTAAGGGCAGGTTGACAATAATTAGTAGGCTCGTCGTAATTTACGAAATATCACAAGTCAAAAATGATATTAAGGACGCTCCATCTAACTCTGGGCGCCAATGTGACGCATTAACAATATGAAAACCTTGCAAATCTCTGCTGGGCATAATTGATAACTATCGATAATACGGTTGACCCTTGGGGGTCGACTGCCCAATCCTTTGATGACCTAACAAAAAAAAAAAAAATACGCCAGATTATTTCTTGTCAAAACTGAATTATTCGAGAAGGTTAAATTATAGGCTTGATTCGAACGCGATGTTCAAGTCGAATATTCACTAGTGAGCGAGAAGAGCATTAAATGCAGGCAAATGAGAAATACTAACGTGAAATATGAAATGGAACGGCGACTAAGATGTGAGGATTATAAAAGACGTACCTATATTTGATAATAAATTGTGGTTGGGAAAAGGGAAAAGACTTTTTCATCAAGAAATTAGAGAAATATTCGCAAACTTCAATTAGGAATTTAAATATTCATAAAATATTAGCCTGAAGCAATTGATTATTGCGATCGGGAACATACGATTATTAAACGAAGACTTTGGTAGCTTCCGTAAGTAAATTTTTGAATGGGAACACTAACAAATGATTAGGTGCAGCAAAATACGAAAAAGTGATAGCAAACAAATGCATGCTAAATTTAAGAAAAATATGATATACAGCAGCATCACTGATGCAGACAAGTCGCTCGTCGTGCAAGAGGGCAAAAAATTGGGCCTCGCATTGCTGTTTTTTTAAATTGATGAACAGACACATACATGAAATGGTTCGATAATAACATTGAAAAATAATTAAATTTAAACTACAACAGGGGGTAAAAGGGGCGATATCAAATTAGACGAATCTAATATAATAAAGGGCTTTTAAAAAGAGCTGGAAGTAGGGATTGTGACATTGAATAATGCGGCAACAATCGATATATACAAAAAAGAAATGGGTCTGGGGGGGATTAAACAAACCTGGACAAATTAATACACATGCAAGTTGTTATCAACGACGAAACACATACTATCCTTCTTATAAATGAAGTGAATAAATAGAAATGAAGTGATTAAATAGGAAGAAAGTATAGAAATAAAACCATAATTCTGAGTTGTTTTAGGAGTCGCGACTATAGAAGGGATGGCAAGAAGCGAGGGATAATAGAATGAAGTAGAAGGGAGAATGTAATATCTTTTCAGATGTTCCTAGTAGAGACAGCTAGCCTAGACGATGGATGAGAAATGCATAAGAATCAGCAATGTAGTGAAGCATGTAGCAGTAGACATGAGCATGACATGGACATGAGCATGACATAGACATGAGCATGACCATAGACATGAGCATGACCATAGACATGAGCAAGGGAAAGAAACTGTAGCACGAGAAAGCTCAACAAAAAACATTAAAGAAGGAGCATGACCGAACACAGCAGAACAGTGGCATGCAGCGTGTGCCTGCAGGTAGCGTGTGCAGGTAGCGTGAGCAGGTAGCGTGTGCAGGTAGCGTGAGCAGGTAGTGCGTGCAGGTAGCGTGTGCAGGTAGCGTGAGCAGGTAGCGTGTGCAGGTAGCGTGAGCAGGTAGCGTG